TGTGCCCCCCCACAACAGGGGGGAAATAATCAAGTATTGGGTTTCTCCTCTGTGTTTGGCAGCCAGGAGGGGGCTGAGGCTGAGCACAGGGACCCGTGGTCCTGGTCCCTGCTGCTCTTCTCCTGCCAGAGCCTCTGATAATGTCATCTGACTGCATTTGTCCTCCATCCTCCACTTTCATTGTTGTGAGGAATTAACCGACTGCAGCCAGAGAGAGAGATTTGTTTTGCTTTGTTTTGGTCTTTTTTTTTTTCCATTCAGACCATTCAATTTTGATCCCAAGGAGGTAGGAGGCCAATAACTGGCTGAAAATCAATCCAGGCTTCCCATGACTGATGGAATGGAAAATATCTCGAGTGTTTGCTGAGGATTTGCAGGCAGCAAAACAAAACAAAAGGCACAGAGCTTGGCTGCATGTAATTCCCTCCTGCATGCAGCATCCTTCATCAAAGGATAAAGGCTCCAGCAAGGGCTGTATTGGGGCAGCTATTTTGGGAGCTCTGTAGCTAAGAGAGGACAAGGGATGCTCTGGAGAAGCCACCCCTGGGTGGCTTCTTTGAAGGTGACTTGATTTGTTGGGCTCTTTTCCTCCAGCAGCCAACTGGTTGGCACTGGTTCCCCAGTTCAACACCTCCATATTTTACAGTTATTAAGCAAAACTTCCCCTATATCCCCAGTAAAACCCTGATTGGAGGTGAGATGGGAAGGCTTTACCACATCCATGTTGTTTTGCTCGAGAGAGGGGACAGAATTGTCCCCTTTGGGCTGTGTTTGCTGTGTCCCCTGGCACTGACATCATTTACAGCTGAAGCTGGTTGTTCAGATGCTAAAGATCCTCCATGTCCTCAGAGAGTTTTGTCTCAAACCCCTCTTTTTAATATTTTTTCACCCATGCCTTTTTCTGCAGTGTATTTTTGTCATGCAAATAGACTGTAAACTGTAGCTGAAGCTTCACCAGCGTCTCTGTGTGTCTAATACATAAACCTACTGGGAATTTTATTAGGAACACACCATTAAGTGAATTTTATTGGCTGCTCAGCAGAGTGGGAAAGTGGAGATGGGGAAAGATGGGCAGTTTATCATCCCCATCCTCTGTCCCCAAGCCCCAGGAGATGTTTGGTGGCTCACCTGGCTGTTTGTTCGAGTCTCAAAACCACGGAACACAACTGGGGCAAACTGTGAGTCCCACAGGAGCAGCCTGGCACGAGGCAGCAGGTGGATGCTGAGTGCTGGGGTTGATGTGCATTGGCAGCAGGAGGTTGCTCAAAGCCAGCTGGTGTGATGAGACGTTGTTCATCCGTCCACCTCCACCTCTCCAAAGCATGGAATGCTCTGGGGTTCTGCCACCTTGCAGCCCCAGCGTGGTGACGTGGGGTTCCGCTGGGCTTCTGTCTAGAAGCTGAGCACAACACGCTGGTGTATTGAAGTTTTAATAACAGATAATGAAACGGGAGCAGCAGAGAGACAATTTGGTCTTGGGTTTGGTTTTTTTTTTCCCCTATAATTTCCCAAGCTGGTTCAGTTGAAGGCATTTCACTGCCAGCTTTCCCAGGCTGCAGACACTTCTGTGCCGTGGGCTCAGGGGTGTGTGTGGGTGTTCTCTGGTGCTTTTGCAGACACCCCTCAAGCCCACCAAGGTGTGAGAATCAGAGCCATTTGCCACATGTTCATTCCCCACCTCTGCAGTGTTTCCGGGGAGGTAACGCTGGAGGGCTGAAGTTCCCTACAAAGTTTTTGGAGACCCCACTTGGCCTTTCAAAGGCAGCAGCCAAATGTTGGTTTGTTCTTCTCAGGGACCCTGGAGACAGTCACACTGCAGAGATAACACTGTCAGATTCTGCAAAAGAAATTTGCACTACATCACCCAAATCTGCAGCCTTAAAGGCTTCCCTCTTGCTAAATTTACCTTTTCTCCTTCCTAAATTTACCTTTTCTCCTTCCTAGACAGTTTTTACCGAAAGCAGCTCTCTTATTTTTAGGCAGTAACTGCATCCATAATGTCATCACTGGCTGGATATTTCTTCTGGATATTAACTGCACAGCTTGGTCATTTGCCTCGGAATTGGTTTCATAAAACAAAAGCTTTTTTTTTTTTTAGGAGTCTAGACAGTGTCCCCAGTGAACTGGCACTTAAATGATGATCTAAAATCTCGCCCCAATCTACCAATAGCAAGATTTAGATCTCTCTCTCTCTCTCTCTTATATTTTAGCAGCCTTGGTTTAAGCTTTTGATGCAGAAGTGTATGATTTTTAAGCCAATATGGACTTTGCCTGAATTTCCTTGACAATGAGTGATTGCATCCCTCTCTCCTGCATGCCAAATTAATGGAGTTAGGCACAGCAGCTGGGATAATTTACTGAGTGCTACCACGACGGGGCTTACGGGAAGCAAAAGCAGCATCAACGTAAAATGCTGGGTTTAGCCAGGGAAAAGATGTTAATTGCCCTCTGGAAGGATGGTGCCAATCATGCAGCTTTCCCAGGGGAGCACTTAAGCTCTCGTGCTCCTGGGGAGATACCAGGTTACCCCCTGGGAAAGCTTTGCTATTCGGCTGATTTCTTGGCTGATTTGGAGTTTCAGAAATTGGGGTTATTTCTGGGCAGGTGTTGGAGGCATCATTGGATTCAAGGCCAGGTTGGACAGGGTTTGGAGCAACCTGGTCCAGTGGAAGGTGTCACAGGGGATGAGTTTTAAGGTCCCTTCCAACCCAAACCATTCTGTGATGATTCCGTGATTTCTCGCTCTGGGTTTCTCCCACAGCCCAGTTTTTAGGGTGATGTGCAAAGGTCTCAGCCGGTCTCTGCTGTTTTCTAACCCCCCTGTGTTCCTGTTGCTCGCCCAGGTCTGGTACATGGACAGCTACCACAACAACCGCTTCGTGCGCGAGTACAAATCCATGGCAGATTTCATGAACACTGACAACTTTACCTCCCACCGCCTCCCTCACCCCTGGTCGGGCACCGGTCAAGTGGTCTACAACGGCTCTATTTACTTCAACAAATACCAAAGCCACATAATTATCAGGTTTGACTTGAAAACAGAGACCATTCTCAAGACCCGCAGCCTGGATTATGCCGGCTACAACAACATGTACCACTACGCCTGGGGCGGCCACTCAGACATTGACCTCATGGTGGACGAGAACGGGCTGTGGGCCGTCTACGCCACCAACCAGAACGCGGGGAACATCGTCATCAGCAAGCTGGACCCCAACACCCTGCAGAGCCTGCAGACCTGGAACACCAGCTACCCGAAACGCAGCGCCGGGGAGGCCTTCATCATCTGCGGCACCCTCTACGTCACCAACGGCTACTCGGGGGGCACCAAGGTGCACTACGCCTACCAGACCAACGCCTCCACCTACGAGTACATCGACATCCCCTTCCAGAACAAGTACTCCCACATTTCCATGTTGGACTACAACCCCAAGGATCGGGCTCTCTATGCCTGGAACAACGGGCACCAGATACTTTACAACGTCACCCTCTTCCACGTCATCCGCTCCGACGAGTTGTAGTCCCGCCCCTTGTTTAGAGACCGGTTTAGGAAAAAAAAAAAAAAAAAAATTAAATAAATGAAATAAACGTGAAAAGGATTAAAAAAGAAAAAAAAAAAGGGGGGGAGAAACTTAATTTAAAAAAAAAAAAGCTAATAAGGAAACACACTTTAAATAAGTAAATATATAAACAGCTGCCAAAATTAAGACCAACGTCATGGAGGATAATTCAGCATAAACCTGACAGATCAGCATTACCTCTACATTTCTAGAAGTCTGGCTCTGTGTTATAGACTAACGAGTCACCATGTACTTGCAGCTGGAACTGCACTCAAAGAACCACTTAAGTTTGGGGTTTTGTTTTGTTTCTGTTCTGATAGCAAACCTATAGTACATACTAAAGCAGTAAGGCAATGACTGTTGGAAGTTTATCCTTGGGAGACTCGCTCTCTTCTGTGTGTGGGTTGCATGGACATTCCCCCGGCGTCACGGTCAGCTGTGATGGATGTGTGATTTGTATTTTTAAGCAGAAAAAGCTGACCCGTGAGGAGCTCTCGCTGTCTGAACAAGACCTATCACAGGTTAGTTTTCTTCGCCTTCCATTGCAGCTACTGTCTCTCTCAACTGTGTTCTTGTCACTTAGATTAACTGTGCTGAGACCCGAAGTAGCTCATGGATCTGTGTCTTAGTAACTATTAAACACGATGGTTTAAGTATGTATTATGAACAAGTTGTTGTACCCATATTGTTTGAACTTATGTATTCAGCAAATATATTGTATAATGTATGTCTGTTATTTACCAGAGGTGGCAAAACTTTGTATGTCCAGTTTATGCAATGAATGTTGTAAATGCAATGATGTAGTTTGGATTAATAAATGATGGTTTTTGTTTCTAAAAAGAAAAAAAAAAAAGATCAGTGTTCACCCTTATACACAGATAACCAATTTCATGTTGATAATTACGAGAATATTCTCTTACTGTTATACTATCTACATAGCATTATGGTGGTTGGAAATTGCTTCTGTGGAAATTCTGTGGCAGCAGATTCCCATGGGAAGCTTTGTTTATGGAAGTGTGAAGGTAATTAATTTTTTTTAAGAGGAAAACTTTGTACTATCCACAGTTATCTAAGGAACAATAAAAATATTAGGAGACTTCCCTGCTTTGTTTATTGTCTTCTCTGTACGAGTGAGTGAGTGCAGGGGAGGGATAACAGGAGTTATTGTGGGGTTTTCTGGGTAAATGTTGAACAGCCATCCTGAATTTCCTTCCAGGGAGTATTGCTGCTGCTGGGAGCTGGAGGGGCTGGGAGAATGGAGGGTTTGTCTCTCTGCTTTAGAGATTCCCTTTCTGTTTGCATTTGGAGCAGACATTGCCTCAAGGAGCTAAAATCCTGCTCTGCTCCTGTGGCTGCATCGCTGTGGGTGCTGTGGACAGGGGGCCACCCACCCCAGGACTGACAGTGTTTGGTGTTGGTGCCTCAACAGGAGGAAATCATGTCATCTGTTACCTTCACTGGAGCTGGAGACACAGTGCCTTGGACCGCTGAGGGCGACTGGAGCATTTCCCTTCTCGGATGCTTGGAGTGCCCCCCATCCTGAACTCACCGCGGGCTCGTGCAGGTAAAAATGTCCTTCCATTTAATGTAGCCAGCACTTAAAATGAGTGACTGTCACTGCTGGGGTGTGAGCACCCAACACAACCCTTCCCCCTGGTTTGGCCAAAGCAGGGCCCTCGCAGCCCTGCAGGATGCAGCAGTGCAGCAGCACACACCCTGAAACCATCCCAGGCACTTTCACAGCTGAACTCTCTGACGTTTCTTGATACTTTGAAGCTTAAGACACTATGTTAACATGTCCCTCCCAACCACCTTTGATGACTCCTGCACTTCCCTGCTCTCCCCTTACACCCTTCCACAGGATGTTGTCCCCAAGGCAGGGCTCATTTTACCAGGAAACCAGCACCACCAGCAGCTTCATTCTGCTGCCACTGTCTGGGGTGAGATGGGGGGTCCCACCTCCCTCTGGCGTGAGATATGGGGTCTTATCCCTCCCCTCCACCTCAGTGAGAGCATTGTTTAGCAATTCCCATGCCACAGCCAGCTCCAGGTGAAGGGACAGGACTTTTCCTCCCCCTCACTGCTCACCCAGGGAGCCCCCTGAGCTGGATCTCACTGGCATCTGGGGTAACTGGTACCAGTGCAAGCTGCAAAGGGCTCTCTGGTGCATCACCAGACCCTCGTTGTCTCCTTTCCACACAGAGCAGCAAGTGACCGTGTTTAGCACCACCAGAGAACCTGATTTTTCAGCCACGTGGCCTGATGATGCTCAGCCTTCAGACTCGTCAGACGGATGCACGAGGGCCCCTGGAAGGAACCCGGATCACCAAGGTCAGGAAATTGAATATAAGCAATTGGTGTTTGCTTCAAACTGCACATACTCATTTCAACCTCTTGGCCTTTGCAGCAGTTCCCTGCTGGGCTCTTCAACGGGAGGAGGGAAAGGAAAAAAAAAAAAAAGAGTGGTGTAATGTGGTTTCTCAGAGCTGGATTAAACCACAAGCAAGGAGCAATCCTCCACACGTAGATGTCTGAGGCAGTTACACAGGGCTGAGCTGCTGCCCTGTGTCAGCACTGCTGCTCTCACTGAAGTGCTGGCTGAATGCAGAATGGGGACAGCTCTCTGAGGACTTGTTTCCCTGCTACACGCTGTATTTCCAGCCAGGTTTGTGGAGAACTTCGATATTTAGCAGTGGTTTTCTCCCCAAGAAGCTAAAAAAGGGGGCTGGAGCCCCACGGTGTAATTGGCAGAAATACTGATCTTTGGTAGGCAAGAGTAATCTGTTATGCCAAAAAGCAGGAAGGCACCTGCAGTAATTTCTATTTACTTAATGTATTTCTTCAGAGCAAACTCATTGAAGGGCAGCACGTTTTTTTTTGTAAGGTTTAGAGCTGGATCCAGCAACGCTGCAATCAGTGGGATGGAAGCTGATGCTGACACCAGGGCTGGGCTTGGCTGAGCCAGCTCCTGCCCAGCTCCTCAAGAGCTTCAGGGTGATTCCCACGCACAGCCTTGCCATGGATGTGAATCCTGGCTGGACCATGCACTGAATTGCTTTTTGGTGTAGATTATTGCCCCAGCAGCTGGGCTCGGTGTCCTCTGTCCTGGGAGATGTGCTAATGACCCTGAACACCAGACAGTTCTTCTCTAAGACCTCTGCAGGTGTTCACAGAGTTTGTCCCAGCCAATCTGTCCAGCTTGGGGGAGATGTCTCAGGTAGACCACCACAGCACATGGCAGGGCACCATCTGAATCTGTCAGCAACCCATCCAGGCACACTGCCACACACACACAAATTACCCAAAGTCAGCTTGGTCATTAGGCCAGATTTGAGGACAAAAGAACACGTTTGCTTCAAAACATTGATCGGCAAAAATAAATCGAATTACAGAAAGGCAAAATAATGCTGTTTGCTTTAGGGCACAGCTACATTTAGATTCTAATTTTCCTAGTGCAATTCATTTAAGATAAGACTCCACAGCACAAAATGTCCTTGAACACAACAAAGACAGAGCAGCTTCTCTGTAACATGTACCCAAAGTTAATGAGATGAGAAAAGTGCTTTAAGGGGTGTACCTTTGTCCTATTTGCCTGTAGTGCAATATTCTATAAATGGATGCCATATGGTCATATACTTAATGGTATGTATTACTTTGGAAGTGGATGAGCCACTCAAAGGCAAGTACGTCCCAGAGGATTGCTTTCTATAGCCTATGACTTAATTATTTGATGCACGAGGCTTGTTGGTCCAAATTTAGTTCTGGGAGTCAGCGAGCTACTTCAGAGAAACATCTGACCATACTTCTGTGTGTGTGTTTAGGTATTGTTAATATTTCACAAGGCATTAATCTGAAAGCAGTGTGCTGGGGATTTGTGAGGGTCTGGTGCAGAAGACAGGTCCTGCTCCCAGCCCCACCAGCCGTGCCAGTCCCGGCTCCATGGCTGAGACAGATGTGATTGAGAGGGACTTCTTACAAGGACATGGAGGGACAGGGCAATGGGGAATGGATTTAAACTGAAATGACGGCGATTTAGATTAAATATTAGGAAGAAATTCTTCCCTGTGAGGGTGGGAGGCCCTGGCACAGGTTGCCCAGAGAAGCTGTGGCTGCCCCATCCCTGGAAGTGTCCAAGGCCAGTTTGGACAGAGATTGGAGCAACTTGGGATAGTGGAAAGTGTCTCTGCCCGTGGCAGGGGGTGGGACTGAATGACCCTTAAGGTCCCTTCCAACCCAAACCATTCTATGATTTAATTTTGCCTGTCATTCCATTGCTGTCCTTCGTCCTGTGACTCAGATGGACCAATGCTCTCCAGCTGGTTCACACCTGCCTTGGGATAACAGGGGTACCTGATGGGATTTGCTCTCATTCTTGCAGTTCACCTTTTCTACCCTTGGCTCTGATACAACTCCCTTCCCTGGAGCCCTCACGCCCATCCCAGGGGATGCCTGGATAGCTTTTGGGCAGGGTAGGACACGAATGCAGCACAGATGTTTGTCTGCCCAGCTCAGACACAGCCAGCACCTCATCACGGGGATACTTCTGCCATTCTCCAGGCCATGCTTATCCACAGGTGAGACTGGTTCTGTGTGCAGGGTAGAGCCTGACCCATGGAAACTGGAGCTCATCCTTCCCCCACCAGTGGGGAGGCCCAGAGGAGCAGCAGTGGGTTGGGAAATGCAGCTTTGGGCTGTGAAATGCAGCTTTGGGCTGTGAAATGCAGCTCAGAACTTCAAGAGCACTTACACAGACTGTCCCATGAATTAAATGAAGCTCAGTCAGCACCTGGCCTAAAACCCAGGCAGAAATACTGGCTGTTGCTTAGCATCATCACAGCACCGAGAGCTAAAAATTTTCCTTTCTTCCTTTGCTGTTACTTCCCTGACCTTCATTAGTTCTGCAAGCACCGAGTGCTGAGCCCATATGGAGACAGTTATCATAAAAAACTGAATCCTGGCCCCTTAATTAGCTCCTCATTATCGGAGAGCTCCATATTGAAGCATTAAGAACTTCCGAAGCAATTTGTTGAGTTTCCAATTAAAACTTTTTAGAATTGTTGAGCCTTTTAATACTTTGTGTTTACAAATTGCCTTGGACCTCCACCAATACACACATTTCCTTCACTGGGGAAATATAACCGAGGAGCTGATGGTTATTAATATAAAATCCTTGGGTTTAATAAAGCCATAAACCATGTCAATGAAGCTGCTCTTTTTATACCTGATACAATAGAGATGGTTCTGAACGAGTGCAGAGGAGTTAGAATCATTAAGAGGGCAATTAAAGGCTGATTTCCTAGTAGCTCCACTTTTATAGCACTGTAAAAACAAATGTACACATCCCTCTTTATATTAATTTACCCTGGATATGCTCCTGCCAGCTGACAGGTACCAAGACCCTCCGTTTCAGCACATTGCAGGATCGGGACCGTCATGAATAAATAAAAGCCAGATGGGCATGGATTATATTCACGGTATCACACAAGCTGTGAGCTGGAGGAGTGCAGCTACCAGATATGAACACAGAAGAAAAATGGGTCTCCTGTGAAGCATGGAACTGCACAGATTTCCCCTGGGTTCCTCAGGTGAATCTGTGGCCTGATCTCCTGTGGTGGCCAAAAAAAACGGGGAGGTGGGAGGGCCTCTTGACAAGCCCAGGGATGAGCTCTTCCTAAAATCTGCAGAGCCAACATGAAGCAAGGGGAGCAGCAATGTCTCTGCTGACCTGGAGAGGGATTAAATGATTTGTTTAAAACCTCTTAAACATGGTTCCCAAGCCATTTGAAAAGAATGGTCACCTTCACACTGCATCCAAGGAGCATAAAGGAAGGATGCAGTTGTCTGAAGCAGAACAGCCCTCAGAGCTTTAACTAACCCCCAACGGCTTCTTCCTCCTGTAAAACAGTCCCAGGTCCTCCAGGAAGAGTAAGTTCATGGCTGTTAGGAGTCTGTTGTGCAACCATCACAGGAGGACATGTACCACCAAGGGAAGTGGCTTTGGTGTGTGGCAGATCTGTGCAAGCAATGACAAACAGCCCTGACACGACCTGAGCTGGGACTTTGTTCTCAGCCTGTGCCGAGGACTTGTGATGATACAGTACTTGTGTTCTTGGGGACGTTGTAAAGCCATGAGCTGATATCTATTGAACATGTCATTTGTATTCCCACGCTGGTTTTTAAGCAAATCTGTCAAATAAAACCAAAAAAAGAATGAGAAGAGGAATGCAAGGGAGGGATTACATAAGGAACTGGCTGTGCTGGCAGCCGTGGTCACTCCGGGTGCTGGTGAGTCCGTGGCTCTGGTGTCCTCTGAGAGGAGGGAGAAATGTCCCTCAGAAACAGGTCTGGAACAGGGATCAGCATCCCACACCACTGGCTGGGACCCCAGCAGGGGCTCAGGGCCATAGGTTTGGCCATAGTCTGCTGCTTCCCTCCTGGTCCTCAGCATCCTCCCAACTCTGGGGCTGCTTTGCAGTGGATCAGCTCCCTCTCAACAGACAGGGACTGAGCTCCTTCCCACCCTCCTGCTGGCTTTTTGATCTGGCTTTTAAAGACATCATTACTTTTCAGGATAATTTTTTCATTTGGCCCATTTTGGCACTTTCTGAGCAGCCAGCTACTGAAAAAGAAGGTGTCTTCAGGCAGATCAGCAACGTGGGTCCTTCCTCAAACGCTCACAGTGAGCCCCCAGCACCACAGGCAAGGGACCTTGGGGAGAGGAAACATAAATCTGCCATCTGTGGCAATTTAGCATTTACCAGTCATATTGCACCAGGGCACTGTCACTTTGAATGAATGTTAAAGCACTTCCTCTGCATGGCCTGAACAGTCTCCCTTTCCCATCAAATTGGCCATGGCATGCTGTAATAAAATAGACATACTGAGGCTGCAAAGGGTCACTCGGGGGGGGGGGCTGGCATTAACTCAGGGAGGTCCCCTTTTGAAGAAGGCATTCAATTAAAGTTTTATTGCAATTCTGCAGTGTGAAGCCACAAGGAGGAGGCTCAATAGCTGTGCTGGAATTTTAAATTAGCAGCTGAGTAGGAATTTGCCAGTGATCCTGGGTGTGAGCAGCAGAGAGTCAGCTGTGCTCCACTGCAGGAGCAACATCCAGGGAAATTGCAATGGTGTGTGAAGCCACAAGGAGGAGGCTCAATAGCTGTGCTGGAATTTTAAATTAGCAGCTGAGTAGGAATTTGCCAGTGATCCTGGGTGTGAGCAGCAGAGAGTCAACTGTGCTCCACTGCAGGAGCAACATCCAGGGAAAATACAGTGGTGGAACTGTGCACTTGGCTTGGCTTTGTATGACTAGCGGGATGAGCAAGGAATAGCGTGGGATCAACTGAGAGCAAACATTGTGGAAGGATGAAAGGATCTGCCATGGTGAGAGGCACAAGGGGTGACTCTGGGAGCTGGGGCTCAGCCAGCACTTTGGAAGATGAGATTTGGGTGAGTCCTGCAATCCAGGAGGAGTTTGCCTGAAGAAAAGGTGTTAGGTTAGGCCCACTGCCTTTGAGCACAAATATTTGTGCTCTCCAGCAAGATTTCCTCTTGCAAACAGCACTTGAGAGCTGGCAGCCTTCAGCCAGCAGCAGAGAAATGCTTCCAGACTCCCACCTTTCCTATCAGTTATGTCATTTCCCCTGAAACATCTGGAAGAGTCAGCACATCTCATGGATGCAGCAGTGTCCAGAGGTATTTGGGATTTGCAGTGAATGGAGGCAAACAGGGATGTGATCCTCTGATACAGCAATGATGGAGATGATCATACCAGGCCAGATGTGTGCCTGTCTTCTTGCTGGACACAGGGCTGGGTGCTGGCTCTCCTCTGCACATTTTAGGATCCCTGGTCAGGAAATCAGCCTCAGGAAATGCAGGGCATTGTGCAGGAGGAGATCCCGCTTTCCTGCCGAGCATCTCCGAGTCGTGGACACGTTAAGGACACAGGTTTGCATGGATGCTCAGGTGCAGGGGTTTGGAGCTCAGCCCTCGCCACTGCAATGGCAGAGGAGGGTGAACTGCTGCAAAGGAGCAGGGCTCTGTGCCCAGCTTTCAGCCATAACACTTGCTTTCAAAAACTCAATCAAGCGGTGTTTTGCACAGGAAAAACTGTCAGACGTTTAATTACCAGCCATCGTTACTGCGTTACCATAATGTGAGCGAATCGACGCTGCTCTGCCGCCGCCAGATGTTCACACTCCGGCTCGTTACAGCGGTGATGAGCTCGGTGCTTGATGAGCTCGGTGCTGCCCGGTCCCGGCTGGGAGCCAGGGCCAGCAGCCCCTGCCTGGGGCACGCACAAAGCAGGGATAAAGAGCTGTAAAGTGTTCCAGCCTTCAGCGTAAAAATAGCCTGTGCCGTTAAAGCAGATGGGCTAAAAACCTGCGGAAGGGCAATCAGCCCTCACGCACCAGAGCTCATGAGGCTTGTCAGCTAAGGGTCAGGAAGAAATTTGTCCTGGGGGTGATGGTATCTAATGGACTGTGTTAGGAGCTGAAATGCTCTGCTGAGAACATGCTGCTGGAAAACAGGCTGCCAGACCTGACAGTCCACAGCGTTGCTCTGCTACGTTTTTGTATTTTAAATATTAAACGCAGTGTTAATGTTGTAATTGCCACCTCGTAAGTCAACATCACAGGTCCTCTGGCAGGTCGAACACCCACCTCGAGCGCTGCAGAAAGTGCTGGGGGTCGGCGTGGTTTGGGCTGGGTTTGGTTTCATGGAATCACAGAACGGTTTGGGTTGGAAGGCAGGTTAAAGACCTTCTCATTCCAATCCCCCTGATGTGGGCAGGGCCAACAGGTTGCTCCAAGCTCCACCCAGCCTGGCCATTTGCAGCTCACACTCTGTGAGGGCATAAAAGGGGTGGTGGCCCATTATTTCCCCAAAATGCTGATGAAAGGAATGGAGGCACGTCCCGGGGGATGGGCCACCAATGGCTTGGGAACACACCCAGTGATGTCCCTCAGCGAGGAACAAGAACTGCAAGTAAGTGGAGGGGAGAAAAAGTGCAAAACCAGGGAACTTGGATCACTTTATCCCATAGCAACAAGCCCATTCAACAGGAGGAGCGTGTTCACAGCAGAGCCCTAAAAAAAGGAGCTGTTAAAATAAACATTGGCATATCTCACACCTCCCTCTTCCCTGAAGGATGCTCCCTGGAAGCACATGTGGACAAACTAGGGAAGGGAAGAGAAGGAAAATAGTCATGAAGGGGAAGATTAGAGGTATTCTAATTAAGTGCTGAATCTCTGTTTCTTTCACTTTCTAACATGTTTAATCGTTCAGGTGTCTCTGTTGTTCACTGATGAATCCAGCAGCCTCTTTCAGAGCATCTGGTCATGTTATTCCTTTGCTTAACCATAGCATAAAAAACCCCAGGAGTTTCCTGTGAAGCTTTTGCCCTACATATCACATGTCATATTTTAGGCAGGTAACAAAGAGGCCCTGTAACCTCTCTGTGAGCACCCTTCTTACACCACCTTCAAGGTGGACAGGTGGTTTCAGGGGGTTTTCCCTGCTTTTTTTCTGTGTTATCTTGTTATGTGGAAGGATAAAAATATCCCATCTTTCTTCTACAGACTGAAATAAGATTCCTAGAGCCTTTACAAGCTTGTGTTGCCCCTGCTCAGGACCTCCTGGGGTGGATGCTCTGAGCAGCAAAGGTCTCTGCTGTGGGTACTCCACGTCCCTTCACTCTTGGCATGCAGCCCCTCACGGGTAGAGCTGGGAGGGTGCACCTGCCTCTTGGGAACCCCCAAATTTCCTACATGCATGCAGATATCACACACTGCCATCACGTTGCCTCCAGTGACACCACAGAGCCGAGCAGAGTCACATATGTACGTGCTGCTCTCAGGGGAAATCCAGGCCAATGTGATTTTACAGTCAGCATCACATTGCATTTCCATTCCTTCCTCTTTTCCCTCTTCTTGTTTTTATCTTTGCATCACAGGAGGCCAAAACACCAACGTGTCACCGTCACCGCAGAGCAGCTGAAAATGTGACATGATTAGAGATCAGGGCAGCGATGAGACAGTTTATCTTCCCCACACATATGGCACTGGGTGAGCCACTGGGAAATAAAAAAAGCTTCAATAAATCATATTGTCCCTGCCATGGAAGCAATAACACCAGCAACCCCAGGTAGAGGGAGAAGTTTGCTCTGACACCCATTCCTGAGGTGTCCTGGCTGCAAGCCTGGCACTGCAAAGGACTGGGAAGCCTCATTCCTGTTGAATTCATTCCTGTGCTGGAGTTTGAACTGTTCTTTTATTATTTTAGGAGCTTTTACCCCGGGGAGCTGTTTGACTCCATAATGGGGTTGTTTGCTTGAGGAAGGCTGGTTTGTAAGGGGAGGCAACATGTGCAGTGCAAGGCTAGCCAAGCTTTTCCTTGCTAAATCACCATTTCTCACTGAAAATACAGATGCAAGAGACTTTATCCAAGCCCTAAATCCAACTGCTTTGGAGGAGCACCAAGCTGGGCTTGACAAGGAGATGGGAGCAGGGTGGTTTGTAACCTCCACCCCGTCCCACCAGGCACTGCTGGGGGATGGCACAGCTCTCTCTGCCCCTCCAGCAGATCCAGCTCTGCAGGACAGACCTCCAGCCAAAAGCTGCAGGTTGGACAATCCACCTTTTCTTGCATAATCAATTACTGGGGCTGAAGAAAAGAAACTCATAACGACTTCCCACTCACACATCCAACCCCCTACAAATGGCTTCTTGCCCTGGTGGAACAGAATATTGTGAGAGCGCCAGAAATAGGTAGCAATCAGATAATGCTGCAACCCACTCCCATCTGCCATCAGAGAAAAAAATCCTGCCCAAGTGAAAGCAAGGAAGAGCCGGGAGGAATCGCCGAGTCCCGCACTGTGCCCTGGGCATCAGCACCTGCTCCGTGTTCCACACTCTGCCCTTGGAATGGGATGGGCAGCACTTTTCCCGAGCCAGGAGGAACTGCTGGTTGCAAATGAAAGCGCTGGAATGCTGGAAAGACATCTGGCTGACAGAGCCATGCGTTTCCTTTATAATGTGATGTTGGCAATGTTATATGAAAACATTGATGAAAAATGAAGCCAGACACTGGGGGAAACGTGTAAAACTTTGTGGTTCAGTCTTGCATCACTTTGAGCATGACCGAGTGGGTTCAGTGTGTAAAACAGCAAGGGACCAGTTCTGCTGCTGGAAAAAAAAATCAGCAAAAATCAGCATACAAGTCAGGGCCTCTTTGCAGCAGCTGCACTGGCACATGTGGGGGCTCTGCCCATGCACCAGCTCCTCCACTGGGTGATGGACCAGCCTTGGAGTCCTGCTTGGGGGAGCTGGGACAGCTCCTGATGCAGACCAACGCCTCTCAGGACCCAAATGTCCGCAGGTTGCATCGTGTCCAGATCCTTAGGGTGGCACAGGTAACCCGCCCAATTGAGCTGGGTGGGGTTGGGTTGGGCAGAGCAAGGGTGAGGATACCCCCACCACATCCCTGAGCTTGCAGGTGCTTATCTGGGCTTGCTAACGGGATGTTGGATAAATGACTTCAGCTCTGCCAAGAGGAGAGTTTCCAGAGCTGTCTCAGAGGACACCTTGTTTGTGCTGAAAGGTGAGAGCAATCCCCTGGGGGCTGGGATTTGGGGTGGCAGGCAGGACTGGAGGGGGAACCAGCCTCTGCTGGGATATGTGGCTAAAGGAAGGGAAAAAATTAATCACAAGAATCCTTTTCATCAGCTTTCTTTGGCTCTTCTGCCTGGCAACTTTTGGCAACAGCTGATCTATGGTGGGTCCTTCAGGACTGAGGCAGGACTCAGTTCCACTCATGCCCCTGCTCTCTGCCCTGAGAGAGACCATCATTCCTGGGAATGTGTTGGGGCTTGGATTTCTTCATCCTGAGTCGTTACTGAAAGGACACCCATGCTTTTAACCTCTGTGGCAGAGTTATCAAAGGTGAATTGAGGAAATGCAGCCCTGGAGGCTTTGGGCTGGGGTCCTGGGCCAGGGGGAGTGCAGCCCCCCTTCCCCTGCTGTGGGTTTTTGGAAGGATGGGGATGTGAGTTGCTGAGGAGCCAGTCCTGAGCAGAGACCTTGCATGTGTACAGAGAATGCTGATTCATCTCACTGCCACTTGAGACAAAAGAACATCTAATTAAGTCACCCGCGTATAAATAAATGTACAAGGTCCAACCTCGGGAGCACAGAACAGCACTGGAAAAACTCAGCAATGCACAATATGCTTTGCCTCTCTCTGGCAGGGCTGGAGCTCACATCTGGGACTACCCCTTTCTTTAGAAATACCGAAGAATGGGATAATTTTTTTTGTTGTTTTGGCAGTATTAGTTTTTACATCAGACTTAGGTGATTTTCTCTTTCCCTGCAGTTCAGCTGTGTCTCAGGTACACCGAGGCTTTGATAACCCTCCAAATCGAACTCAGAGCAGGGTCCACTTTCCAGCTCGATCAAAGGGTGCATGGGGTCCATATGTCTTTTTGGAAGAGAGTGAAAAACAACAGCAAGACCAAGAATAACAGTAAGCAAGTAATTGCTGGTGCTGCTCTAATTACCAGCACCCGCTGCACTAATGGCTGAGCTGATGCTCCTGCAGCTGCAGGACACGGCCCCAGGCTCCACGTTTTAATTAACCTCATTAAAGAGGCTTTGCATTTTGCTCAGGAAGTGGAGAGTTCTGGCTTAGTCCTGCGGTGGGAGTGAGGAGTGGGCTAACAAGAGCTCAGAGTTGGGAAGTATTTAGCTTTTTTTTTTTCCCCCCCTGAAATCCACAGCTTTGGGATGTGGCTGTGGGAGTTCCCTCTGCCCTGTTCCCCAGCATCTTCCCAGGAATTGCAAACTGCTGTTGCTTGACACTTTCTCCCCCTGAGCAAGCAGCTGAGCAGTTCCTGGCTGCTGGACACACAAAACCATCACCTCTTCCCTGTGGAAGTCTTTACCATAAAACTACTGATCATTATTTTTATGGCCCTTTTCCTCCTCGAGCTCTTGCTGTTAAACACGCCAAAAGAGCCCTTTGTTGTGTTTTGAGGCAATTTGTTTTGATGGCATAACGAGGTTGATAAATTACCACCTTGGCCGGGAGCTTTGGGTGTTTGTGAGAGAAGAAATCCCTCGGTGTCTCTTCCTTGTGCACACTCATTAGAGCTTTTACAGTGCCCTCAGGCAAACACAAGTCAAGGGTAAAAATAACGGAAGGTGTCCCCGCCCATGGCAGGGGGGTGGAATGAGAAGATCTTTAAGGTCATAATTCCAACCCAAATTATTCCATGATAATGGGAAGAGTACTTGCCACCCTGGTGGCTGTGCCCAGGAAGAGGTGACTGGCCCTTGCTGAAGGCAACGAGCTGATGCGGGGTGACCTTGCCTGCCAAGAACCATATTTTTGAGGCAGCAAAGCACTAATCATCCCCAGTAGTTTGAGTGATTAAAAGTGAGAAGATCTGAAAGTTCCTGCAAGTGAGTAATAATAACATCTCCCTCCCTCTGCTCCAAACAGTGGGCTGGGAGATTATAATTAAATCCATAATCTATGCACACACCCCACTGCTTTCCACTGCTTGATGCTTTTTGGAGGTGATGCTGCTCCAGCCCACGTCCCAGGCCCATGCTGGCTGTGCAGGAGTTTTCACTGGCCCAGTCTCAGAGGCATCTGCCTAATTGCACCAGCAACATTTTTTTTTAATGTGCTTTCCTACATTGCCTCCGTCTGATAAGGTCAAACCCACCTTGAGGACAGCTGCTCTGCTGTCTGCTCTGGCTTTGCCTCTTTGGGATCCACGGAGGACAGAGCTGCTCTGACCTTTTCCATAAACCTGCTTAAAGGTGACCAAGAAATACACATAATGTATTTCCCAGAGCAGTTTGGAGGAAGTGCCTGTGGCCTATTTTATTTGTCGTTACAACCTTCTCAAAGAATCACTCACAAGGTAGGAGGGCACCTGGCTGATTTTCATGGAAAAATCAAGAGAAGTAGAGATAAGTTACCTTCAGGGCAAACATCCCTGGCTAAAATTGGAATTGAAATTTTAGGGCCAGGAAATGAAGGACAGAAACAGCAATCAGGCTGCTCTGGGGTCTTTGGCAAGGCTGGTTTTTCTTCTATCTGTTTATTTATTTTTTAAGTTGGGACTGACACTGCTGAAGACACGAAAAATTAAACCAGATTTTCGAATGGGTCCTTGCAAGGCCATTGCTGTGATATGGTGGAGGTTTCCATGGGCTTGGCCATGGTACAAATGTGAGGTCAGGAGCTACAAAAGGCCCCAAGGAGGTCCCAGCTCAGCACTGACTTGGCTGCTGGTGCAAACCACGGCCACCAACACCATGAGCTCAAATGCCATTCTGCAAGGGAGAAACCAGATTTGGGCACTGGTGACTGCAGAGAGCTACACTTGACCCATTTTCCTCTGGCTGATGGATACAGGGACTGGTAAAAGCTCCATAGCAACTGGATGTGCACAGTTTAATTATGAAATCCCCATGGTGCTCCCTTGCAAAGATAAATGGATCTGGGATATTTTCCCCTCTTGCAACCATTAAAAAAAAAGCTCTATATTTAGAAGGTCCTGTTCCACTTTGCTGTGTGCCAAGCAGCAGCACAGCTTGAGGAAGGACAATGCTTTGGATGAGTACGTTTAGGTCAACACATGGCACGTCCTTCCAGGAAGGTTTGTGAGCCTGAGGAGTCTGGTTGTCATCCTGTGGCACTTTGGGTGCTCATCTTCTCCCAGGCAAAGCCAGTGCCAGGTATTTCACACCCATTTGACCCCAGTGCAACACCAGGTATAATGGATAACCCAATAACCCCATCCCAGGCTTTAATCCCAAATGGGGGGCAAATCCAGCAGTGGTGTTGGATCAGTGAGTATCACCTGTAAAAGATTTCAGAAAGACAAGGCAATAGCAGAACTCTATTATTGAGACTATTTTGGGTTCTTTCCTATTTGTCTTTTTTTCAAGCTCTTCACAACAGCTCAGGTCAGCTCTTATTACAGTCAGCTGTCCCTCCTGTCCCCTGGCATGGAGTATTGAGACACAGACAGTGAGAACTTTTAGATGGCACAATAAATAAAATAGATGCTATTATTACAGTACTGGCCTGTTTTCTGCTGCCATGGTATCTCTTCTCTTGTCTGACTTATTGCTGATGTCTTCTGTCAGCCCAGCTTGCCTTTCTTGGTTATATGATTTATGGTCCAGGGAGACAGAGCAGAAACATGTGAAAATTGCAAATGAGGGTGCTGGGAGGAGCACAGGAAAAAGACAAGGAGGGGTTGTGATGAGGGTGTGCAAATGGGTCCTGCTCCCACTACCATCTGACAGGAGATGGGGTTTGGGACAGTGTGCTCAGACAACCGAGCAGCTTCGCTCCGGGGCTCCAGCTCACAACCTCCAAGCTGGGAGAGGTAAAACCTGGAGCAGAGACAGCAATCCCTGTCTCTTCCCCAGGTGAGCTTCCCAAGCTATGTGTGAATGCCTCCAGTGGGGGTGACATCTCATCCTAAAGATCCAGGGAACAGCCACCACTGCCCAGATCCAGCAAGAGCACAACACCCAGCAGGCAGAGCCTCAACTACTGCAAATTGGTCTTGTTCCTTCTGCTTCAAGGAGTTTGTCCTCATTCATGTCCTTTCTCTGCAGCCAAGGTGGCTCAGGTGTAGGCAGGAGGGAAACCACAGGCTGCTCCTGCTTTGGGAAGCTGTCCTTGCTGTTGGTGGCTGCAGCTCAGCAGGATGATGCAATTTTCATTACCGTGGCTGAGGCTCGTGATAATTGAAAGCTGTTCCACTTGGTCCTGCAGCCTCCTCAAACTCCAGGCACCTCTCACGCATCCCTCCTGCTGCCAACCCAAAACCTGGGACGAATGTTAAGTGTCAAACAAACAGACACTGATTTTTGGAGCCTTTCATTGCACCCTCTGTGAGAGCAGGGCTGGGGAAGGGGGCTCAGTGTCTCTGGGGTGTGGGGGACCCTGCTGGCACCCCCTCTTGCAGGGCAAGTCCAGGTGTGTGAGCGAGAACCTGCGTGCTGGGGGGGGAGAGCAAGTCCAAAAGGTTCCCTGTAATCCTCCCAAAAGTTCAGGGAGAAGATGAGAAATGAGGATTTGGGTTAGTTTGAAACGAAAATTAAACCAGTGCATTGTTTCATTTCCTTGCACCGAACAGCACAGGAATTCCAAAGGCTGTTTGGAGGCAGATGCTGCTCCTTTAATCTGGTCTTTTGGCCAGTTATACACACATGTACTAGTCCTGCTTGGATTACACTTTTGCATCAAGGATTACAGCTCAAATCCAGCAGTGCTTTTAATGCCTGGGGTCGGGCAGAGCAGCTGACATTAATATATTTTGGGAGCGCAAACACAGCCAGAGGGTTCGTCATTATAAAGTATGATGTGGGATTATAATGCAGGTTGGAGAATTCAGACACAGCTGGCACATTTCCAGCTGTGTATTTTTCTTGGGCCGTGTCATCCACTCGTTGATCAGTTCTAGATTCCAGATAATTGTTGCAGGGAAGGTTTGATGAGCGGAGCCTCCCTGGAATACTGATGCAGGGTGCTGTGCCTGCACAGGGGAGCTGCACACCCTGCCAGGGCCACGCAGGGAATCCCAATTAGTGCCCTTGTGAGCTACCTGCTTGTGAGCCAAGTGGAAACTTCAGTGCAGGAGACACTGCAAACACACAAATAAACACCAATATCCAGAAGCTGGCAAGAGGAACCGGAGGATTCTGTTGCTTTGGGTTCTGGGGGCTCTGTTTACACCAGTTTAACATCCAGCTGCAAGTACAAAGGTGCTGTCTATAGGTGCATGTATATAAACTACATCTAAAGATTAGATGATTGGGGTGCCCTAAAGCACCCCTATGAATCTCTATAGCTTCCCAGACAACCTTTCTTCCTGTTGGCCATGCTCAAGATATGGGTTGGAGGAGACTGAGTTATGGGGGCTTAAAGAATTACCATTTATCAGCAACCACTATGCAGAATCTTAAAGTGTTAGGGTCAAAATTAATGAAAAAAAACCCACAAACCCAAAAAAACAGTTCCTTTGTCCAGTCATCTCAGGAAGGTCTGGATGACTGAGCAATTCCCCAGCTCCTTCTGGATCAAACTTTCTCTTTGCCATAACACAAATCTGACAAAGAAAGCTCCTGTTGGGTAAACAGAGGAGTAAATCTGTAGGAAAATAAGTGTTTCCTTGAGCAGGGAATGCCAACTGGGAAGTGCAGCTACTCCAGCTGCTCTGCAGCCAAGGAGGCCACTGCCATGAGCAAGGAGGTACCCCTGGTGCCAAAACCACTGTGCAACAGGACCTGGGGAGAGAAGGGCAATTCTCTGGCTGTAGTTTCACACCATCTTTTCTGGCTTGGGAAGGGTTAAATCTCTGTTGGCAAGGCTTGTTCCTCAGCCCCTGCAGAGAGGGTGCTAATTGAACAGGCTGAATGGCCAAGGGATTAGCAAGAGAAACAGGTGAAAATGAGATTGAGAAAGGAAAGGAGGAAGAGGCTAATTGGCTTCCACCTGCCCAAAGCCATGGAGTCCCCCCAGCTGAGGAGCATCTTCCTCTGGGTCGGGGTTTGCCTTGGGGGCCAGGAAGCTGGAGCTGTGCCTGGGACCAAAATGAGGACAGTACCTTCAGGGTAAGTAGATGGAGGAATCTGCAGGGAGCATTGGGCTTTTTTCTACCTGCATGACCTTGATGGTCACTCTGCTTTCCT